ATTCTGATTCTGATTCTGATTCTGATTCTGGATGATGCCACCAAACAGTTTTATGGTTGACGTTATTTTCCTCCCTGGATTTAATATACAGGACTAGCATTTTGTGCACTGTTATGTCTGTGCTCTCACCTATGATCAGGGTGTGCCGAGGTGCATTTTTAACTTCACACATTGTCTCATTCTGCACTACTTCATTGATTGAATTCACAAACTCAAAGGCATCATCTTTGCTTCGCCAGCTTTCTGGTACACTCACATACTTTGCCATGTGATGGTCAATTTGTTGAACCGACAGCAGAGAAGAATTCATTTTGAAGGCTTGTAGAATCTTGTCGATGAGAACTTTAACTTCTTCGGGGTTGGATTTCTTTATGAGTGACAGCTCGTTCCTCTTCTCTCGGTCTTTGGCGCTCTCTCCCAACAACGTACCGATCCCCATTCCCATCGTACATCTTCTCACAATTCCAGCTGCTTTCAAATGACTTTTCTGTTGAATGTGGCGCTTGAGGTATTCCAGCTTCCATTCTGTCCACACTTTTCCCTCCGAAAACTCGCTTGCGATTTTAGCTTCGCAACATGTTTTGCAGACCAGACCTTTCTCGCTCAAAAAAGAAAAAATCTCCCAGTTTCACAGTTTTTTCTCCCGTTTGCACATATTCTGACAGCCATTCCATCTTAAAAGAGTCGCATTTCTTTTTTACTTTGGCCACTGTGTGCCACTGCCCGTTCGTTTTGCCATTATTTTAAAGGTTCAACATAAGCAGCACTCCACATGGGCCACACCCCTTTGTTAGCTAAACATGAGCAGCATTTAAGGACGCTGTCATAGCCTGTCAACCACGTTGATGAGCTGTGCATATACGAATGTGAATCGCATCATTGGCTGGAGCAGCCAGTCACCGCTCACACTACAAAACAGAATCAACTGTTAACGTATTTATTTTCATTTCAATTCAGGTTAGGTTTTTTTTTTGTGCGCTACAGAGATTTTCTGTGCGCAGAGACCGTGCCAGCAGTGCACAATTGCACACGCGCACAGCTTAGAGGGAACATTGCTCACGACCCAGTGGTGCCAGTTTAGCTCATTATGCAAACGTAGATGTTTATAAGGCTGGAAACCAGCAGTCAGCTGAGACTGAAGACGTCACTTAGATGAGTGCTGAAAACTCCTCGTCCACAAGAACAGAACCAACTTTTGGGGGAAAACAAACCTGTCTTTGGTGATAGAGCATTTAGGCAATGAAGAATGGTTTACACTCACCTTATCATGGCAGGGATCTGGATAGTCACAGATGTCCTCTGGAAAGGCAGACCGTATCAACATCTTCACCTCTTTAGGGTAGACGTAGGTAGGCTGACACTGATCCCCCTCCTTCACGCCAACCTTGTTAAAAAACTAGGACGGGGGTGACACAAGTTATATGATAAAGATGATAGAATAATACAATGTATTTCATGACAAGGACCACCTGTAAACACAGAAGACCAGTCTGTGAGCAGTTACCACTCATCACCCAGTCTCAGTCTCTCATTTCCTTGTCCTGAATTGAATCGTGATGAAATGAAGTCCACACTTTGTCCTCTGCAGAAGACTCCTTCAGCTTCTTCTAATGGTTATATATCCTGCCTGGCTTTGGAATATCTGAGGACTCAGTGTGAGTATTAGTCTGTCATGACTGAAACATCTCTACATGAATGTCTGCAGGAGATTTTCTGATGGCACAAAGCTTTGGGGAGTGCTGTAACCACTGGGAGAAAACCTTGCTTATTGTCATTAATGAGCTGAACAAAACAGTACAGACACAAACATGTGCCATGGCTCCCCGGTGTCACCCATCGTAGCCAACCTTTACGTGGAAAGTACAGCACCAAGCCACTGGCACAGATAGGTGGATGTAGAGTAGTAGAAGCCTTCACTGTTCACATCAGCTCAGTGGATAGAAACAGAAAGTTCACCAGGGCAGACTCACACAATAGAAGTTTGCTTTGCACAGTGAGGAGAAAGTCCTCAACATTGGAGTTTACTGGAAGCTATGCCTGCAGGTAAAGATTATTTTGGTAACTGACTAATCCACCAATTGTTCTTTGAATGTTTCCGTGACTCTTATCTCTGCCTCCTGTGGGCACACCTGCTCAAGCCTGCGCCCCTGTGAAGACCAGCCTGTTGTCTGGTTAAAATAATGACCCAGGAGACATTTGAATTTGAAAACAATCAATTGCATTTCTAACATTACTCAATATGACCGTCAGACTAAAAATGAATTCTAATAATAATAACATAGAAGCTGTACATCTGCATCTAAAGGTCAAAGGTCACTCTTTGAAGAATGTAAATGTAGACAGACATGGCTTTTTTTACTCCTCTTTCTGTCTTCTCTGTGTCCACTGTGGACAACCATGCTTGAACAGAAGGGGTTCAGTCAACTCTCTGCAATGCTGAGATCGATTCCCAGGCCCCTCTTCTTATGTGCATATATGGGATCCCCGTCAAACACTAGCATATACTGTGCTGTTGTTCTGTGGTAAGAGAACGCAGTACTGTAAAGACATCTACGTGTTGCTACTAAAGTACACACCAGTTTCCTCTGCAGAAGACGGAAGACCTTCTTGCGACGGGCGTGGTCATTCCTGAGGCGTGTGGCAGCATGTAGCAAAGATGCTAACCACCCGGGAAGCCTGCAGAAGTGGCCATAATAGATATAAGTGTAGGTATAAGTAGTCGAACTCTTTCCTGTACCTTATCCCTGCAGCTACCACCCTCTAACGTAAATAGATAAGTACCAGACCATATACCACCCAGCTTTGCTCACTCCACAGTCCCAGCATATTCTTACAATATCCTCTGGGCTGCTTTGCAATAAAGACTTTGACCCTGTCTCTGTGTTCTGATTTAGAGCGCAGCTGATAAACCTAAAAACATGTTTCTATGCAGTTTAAACGCCTACTTCTGAACAGCCATCAAGTACTTATTTATCTGTGCATCAGCATTGGCAGGGTGGATGGAGTGTTACAGTTACAGTTTGGTAAATGCTGCTTTAAGTTACGTTGTTCCACATGGACACTAAGACTCACACTGTGGTGCAGGATATTCCTCACTTAATTTAACTATTAAACTTATCTGCATTTATATAAAGCAGTATACTTGCACAGTGAATAATGGTAGTCTTAAGGTTTAACTAGAAATCCTACATTTAGAATAATGTCATCATTATTGATGCAGAGTTTAGAAACGCAACCAACTGTCACAACTTGCAGATCGTCTGGACTGTTTATGTGAGGACCCAAATGCACACCACACAGGAAAACAGGAAAAATAAACGAAAGACGTCCCGTTTATTAAGGCAGACACACCAAACGGGGGAAATGCATAAATAAACTAAACAGAGGAACGGCTGAACTGGGGGAACTAAGGACATAAAGTAAAAGCCTGGAACACTAGAAAAACCTCGGAAACACCAGCGGGAAACAGAAGAGACACGGAGGAACCACGGACACGATGACAAAGGTCACGGAAAACTCACACAGTGGCTGTGTCCCAATTCAGGGTCTGCACGCTTGAAGTACGCATTTTAAGTGCGATTACGTCACCGCCACGTGATGACGGCTGTCCCAATTCAAAGTGTACTTCAAATGCATACTCCAAATGCGCCGTCGAGTTCCCCAAATATCAAGCGTGGTCCGGTGCACGCTTCGTGGTCCCATATATCCCACAGTTCATAGCGCGGCGGTGGGTGTGGATTATTTTGCTGCAAAATACGGCAGAAGGGAGCGGCAGAAGAGTGAACTGTGAAAAGTAAGTACTGAATATGACGTCACTTATTTATGTGCGAATGTTTAATAACGAAGAAAATTAAAACATTACTGTTGGCCACATGTCGGCAAAGTTGTGCGACATTAGTGATGTTTGTACTTTCAGCGTTAACATGGTTTTGGAGCAGAGGATCGCAAGTTCAATTCCTGCCTGGGGCGTCTGTATCCAGTAAGGGTCCTAAGGCTAGACCCCCTATGCTAAGCGAGCCTACCGCAGACATGAGCGAGACAGATAAATATGAAGGCATGCCGGCTCG